ATATATATATAAAACATGAAACATGTATATTCATTCCCTGGAAGAAAAAGGAAGTAAATCCAATAAGAATGTTTATTTGCAATAAGGATACTGAAAAGGCATGTTTCTTTATTTTTACTTGGTTAGAAATACATTGATGTGATTACAAATCAGAAAACTGAGGTTTCATAGTGGTACAAAGTCATGCAAAACACTCAGAGAACGGAGAATGGCAGCAAAGGCAACAGATGCATGTAGACTATCTGTTTAACACTGGGGATTTTATGATAAGTCTAAAGGGTGAGTAGACACAAAGAATCATGAACAGTATCATAATTTACTAAAGTCTTTATACATTTCTACCTAAACACAAATAGCTCCTTAAAGGTCTTTTTTCAAACATTAAGTCCAATTAAGAGAATGACCCCTTAGAAAGTAAGTTAAATCCTATCATTCTCCTGAACGCTTCTTTCACATCTTTGTTCCTCAGGCTATAGATCAGGGGGTTGAGCATGGGAATCACGATAGTGTAGAACACTGTGGCTATCTTGTCTGTGTCCAGAGTGTTGCCAGATCTGGGACGGCAATAATTGAAAAGGATCGTTCCATGGAATATAACAATGGCTGTGAGGTGGGAGGCACAGGTGGAAAAGGCTTTGCGCCTTCCCTCTGCAGAGCGCATCCTCAGGATGGTGATGAGAATAAATAAGTAGGAGGTAAGGATGACCACCATGGTGATGATCTCATTGACAGTGGCCACAACGTACACCAACAGTTCATTCATAGAGACATCAGAGCAAGCAAGAGCAAAGAGAGGAGGTACATCACAGAAGAAGTGGTTAATCACATTGGATCGATAGGATGGGATCTCAAGAGCTAAGCATGTGTGAATTAGAGAACACACTGCCCCCCAGAGGTAGCAGCCAGACACCAGCTCTACACAGAGCTTCTGGGACATGATGACCATGTAGAGCAGGGGCTTGCAGATGGCCACAAAGCGGTCATAAGCCATTATGGCCAGCAGGATGACCTCAGTGATTGCATAAGTACAAAACAAATAGAACTGCACCATGCATCCCACAAAGGAAATAACTTTGTCTTTATTTATGATATTGTCCAGCAACTTAGGCACAATGATGGTGGAGTAGCAGAAATCCACAAAGGACAAGTGGCTGAGGAAAAAGTACATGGGAGTGTGAAGCTGAGCGCTGACCTGAATAAGTGCAATCATGCTCAGATTACCCAAGACTGTGCTGCCATAGATTAGAAGGAATATCAGGAAGAGGAAGACTCTGAGCTCGGGGACTTCCGATAATCCCAAGAGAATGAACTCTGTCACTGTGGTGCAGTTTTCCTCCACCATTTTCCATTACACTTCAGGTTTGGGAAAACAAAGTAATTTGTTTTTCTCATTTTCCTAGAAGAAAAGAGAGTGCTATGTTAACTTCACCAAAATAGAATATTGATATACAGAAAAGTTTTTTGATTGAAGTATAAGAAAAATATAATTGTCAAATCATTCAAATTATTAAAAATATTTATAGATTGTACTGATTAAAAATACTCCTCAACAAAGCCTTACATGACCTCAGACTTGATCTAAAGTGTAGATTGAGTTCTTACTAAGTTAGTGGTTTGATGGGACTTTGAAACCCATTTCATGCTATGGTTTAAAACCCCCTAGAAATTCACTCCTCTTCCCTGAAAAACTGAAAAAGCTATGTCCATGGGGACTGCAGCTTTTGTGCTTCTGTATAATATATTTTTTTTTTCTTTCCTTTCAGCTTATCAGTAACATAAATTTGCAGTAGAAGAAGCACTCTATTTCCAATGTTACAGATGTGAGAAACTTCTTGGGATCAGTGGCTTAGAAAGACCTTCTTATATTAGGTATTAACTGTGAATTGCTGAATGGAAAATCAACTTGCTCTGTAAACTTTTACCTAAATCACAATGAAAAAAAAAATATTTATTTGGTGTCATATAGAATATAAAAAAATAAAAATAAAAAGATAAAGTAGATAGTGAGATTCACCAGGAGCTCTGGTGGCATAGTGCTTAAATCATTTGACTATTAACCAGAAGGCTGGCAGTTCAAAGGAACCAGTCAGTCTGCAGAAGGAAGACTGGGACATCTACTTCTGTAAAGATTTACTACCTCGGAAACCCATAGGGTGTCACTGTAAATCAAAATTGACTGGATAGCAGAAAGTTTGTGTTTTTTTTTTTTTTTTTTAGTTTAGTTAGATTCATAATTTTTCAGCTTGTCAAGTTAACCAAGTGATTTTATTAATTATTTTATTAATTAGAAGGGTCAATTATAAAGTCAATGCTACCAATGTCAAGTGTTGTACAAACTTTTCTGGAAAACTGTTAAAGAGCATATAACAAAACCTGCACCTCAAAAACAATAAGAGAGAAATGATCTTCTTTTTTTACTGGATGACACATTTTATTCTTAGCGTTCTATTATAAGAAATTATTAAATGTATCAACAAAAAATTGAAAAATTATGTTCAAAGCTACATTGCAGCAATGTTTATGACATTAAAAATAAGAAATGATTAACTATAAAAATGGATAAATTTTAAACTGCTGTATGGCATAACTTTAATGGAAAATCATGATGTGATTTTAAATTAAATTTTAATTAAAAACAGATAACTAATAGTACAGCTAGGGAACAGATGTAGCTGTTGATGTAGATACAGAAGTTTGAATGGAGATAGAGATGTTATATGTCATCACTTTTATTTCAGGTTACAACCCTGAAAGCAGCACATTTTATCTCATTGAGAAAGAAACAAATAAAATATTTCCCAAGTCCTCACAAATTAGGTTGAGGGATGTGGTTATGTTATCTACTCTATAGAAAGAGAGCTGCAATCCAGTCTTTTTGTTTAAAGAAATAACGTACAAAAGCTGTGGGAGTTTGCACAATGCCCTCCTTCCTAGAAACATGTGAGATGACGATGGAGTGAGGAAGGACAGGGTTGGAGCATAAACAGCCTGGTATTTCCTGCATACCTTGCACTAATTTTAAAGAAGTGGGAACCAATAGTTATCCTGAAGTCAGTGTTTGATTATCTACTTGATCATAATTATATACATACATACTAACAAACAGTTTTTTTGCCAATCTTTAATTTAAAGAGAAAAATAAAGTTGAAAAGTTTCTCCAGAGTATAAGCTAGTAGTATAAAACTAGGCTTGGTAAAGTCAATCATCGGTACAAAAGAATTCTCTCCTTGCTTGAGGAAAAATAGGTTTCAAGTTCATGTGTATTCATGACCAGCTAGGTGGGACATTAAGGCAATGCTCTGAATTAGAATGACAATTAGGGAGCATCTCTGTATTCATCTTCACTAGACTCAATGAAGGAAATCTGTATGGAAGGAGGAGGAAAGGGTAAAAGGAATGATCTATCATTTTGTTGACTCTGCATTCTAATACACATTATTAGATGTCACTGTTAGATGTCCCACAGGAAGTGCTCTAATTTTCTGTCAAATATTTCTTCATACTAAAGATTAAAGCATTTTAAGCAATACGTATACAGGACATTTCCTTTGTTTTTCTGTGTAAGAATATTCTAATTACAAGAGAGTTTATATTTATTACAGAAACTTATTATACATATAATTATTACTTATACATGGTCTGTACAGTCATAAAAATTAGAAATATTTTTAAAATATTTTCTTGTTTGGAAAATGTATTTATCTTATTATTCATGTAAGTAGAGTCTAAGTGTAGCTACCAAACCTTATTGGCAGACATTTCTTCCCTGGTCCTGAAGATGCCAGGCTGTGCATAGTATGTAGTTAGAGATTTTATACTGACACTTAGGTTCCAGGGCACTGGATTCTCTATATCTCTCACACAATGATTAATCTCTGTGGAATACCAAAAGTAAATAATTAAAACTAAACTAACTCTACATATAAGATATAAATGATTGATAATCTCTATGGTATGCCAACTGGAAATTAATAAAGCAAACCCAATATATTCTCTTGGGAAAAAAAATATGAAAAATGAAACATGTGTCCTCCTCAATTTTATAGTGTCTTATGGGAAACAAAAGTACAGTATTGTACATATGAGTCCTAGCTCATACTGCCATTCTAAAGCAGCATGACTATTTCCCATGAATTTTCCCTTTCCCATGTTTTTGTTGTGGTTAGGGGTCATCAATCTGTTCCCAGTCATAGTGACCCTACGCACAGCAGAAGGGAACCCTGCCTGGTCCTGCGTCATCCTCACAATCCTTGCTATACCTGAGCCCACCTCAAAGACACTGTATCAACCCATCTCATTGAGGGACTTCCTCTCTTTCAATGACCCTCCACTTTACAAGCTTGATATCTTTCTCTAGAGAATCATCCCTCTGACAACATGACCAAAGTAAGTGAGATGAAGTCTGGCCATTCTCACTTCCAAGGAGAAATCTGGCTGCACTTCCTCCAGGACAGACTTTTTTATTCTTCTGGCAGCCGTGGTATTTTCAGCATTCTTTGCCAACACCACAGCTCAAAAGCATCAATGCTTCTTTGGTCTTCCTTATTCATTGTCCAGCTTTCATATTCATATAAGGCAATTGAAAATACCATGGCTTGGGTTGGGTGCACGTTAGTCTTCACAGAGACATATTTGCTCTTCAGCACTTTAAAGACGTCTTTTGCAGCAGATTTGCTCAGTGCAGGAAGTCATCTGATTTCTTGACTGCTGATTCCATCGGTGATAAAATACCCTAACTTCCTGAAGGTCTTAGTGTCTAAAGTCACATTAAATCCCAGCTAATCAGTAGTGGAGCTGGGCATCAGCTTTGGTATTTTTATGGTTACCTCAGTGCACCAGAAGCGTTAGATTTGAAGTTACCTTGTAGTTACCTCATAGCGTGAGGACTGGTTTGTCACAGATAGGCAAGATTTTATCCAGCGTAAGCACTAGGTCCTCCCTTTCACCTTCACATCAGAGAGGATCTCTTTCCAGATTATTCTCCCTCCCCTGGTTGTGAAATGTTGGTGCTGCTTACTCAAGGCTTGTGCCGGCTGATTTTCCAGTGACTTTAGGTTTTTTTAATGTGTTTTAGAAAGATGGTGATTTTGCAGAATGTGTTTGTCTAATAACAATGAAAGCAAGTCCATTTCTAAGTTTCTACTTCCTAAACAGAAGCCAGTGTGTTATTATATAGTTTTAGAGAATAGTCAACTAAGTGAGATTGCAACAAGGTTTACAAATTTTATTTAATGAACTATTCTAAAGCCCTTTTAAAATAATTTATCAGATAATGACACAGTGAGTGTCTCTAATGACTACATAGCATACATATGTATATAAGGAAATTGACATATTTTCCTTCAGCAAATGTGAAAAGAAAGATCAAGTAATATTTAATAATTTTTTAAAATAATCATTGATAGTAAGTGTCTATGAAACATTGACATATTAGGTTGTTATTCTTGTTGATAGGTGCTGTGGAGTTGGTTCCAATTCTAAGCAACATATTAGGTAGATGATGTTAACAAATTGAGGGTCACTGCCATTTCAATAGAACACAATTCTGTTTCATCTTTGTTTTATTATCACATTTCAAAAATGCTGGAATCTGTTTCTCTCTAGCCATCAGAAATAGTTATCCATGGATAATTTTACTAATTGAAATAAAGAAAATTATAATTCAGATCATTAATACTATTGAGATGCATTCCCAAAGGCAATGTTTAGTTTCTCTTTGAAAATGTTATCAAAATTGTAGAAATAGTTTTTAAGTAATAATGTAGTAACAATAGGGTAATGACAATTCATTGTAGGCAAAAATCACACAGAATATTCTTGCCCTCGAACACTATAGATCACTTTACATACAGTCCTACTCATTGCAAAACAGTATGCTAGTATAATCAACAACGGATACATTTGTGGAGAGTAAATGCAATTTAAATAATTCAGAAGTGAAAGAAAGGATAGAAAATCTAAAAATTCGTGTACTTCAACTGAATCATAGGAGACTTCGGGCAGTTATCGAATACACTGGAAAATACAGGACTTCCTTTTTCAATTTTAACTTATGACGAATAACACCAATATAAATCATGCTCAAGATAGCAGTGATGAAAACTGCTACAGAGAACTTTGGAATATAAAGGTAGATACTGGAAGAATGTGAGATTTAACAGCAGTGTTGATTGAACTGTGTTATTTCCTGTGTGGCTGAAATCCCAAACTTAAAATTTCATTCACAGCACTTAAACAACATGGCTCTCCATTGCCTCAAAATAAAAATGAAAGCGGTTGTGTCTCTTCCTTCACAAAAAAATCTAATATCTCTCTCTCTTTTTTTTTTTTTTTT